AACAATCTTAAATTATTTTTACCAAAAGATATAAATTCAAGAATAATAATTTACGATTTGGATTTAAAAGAGCAACATAAATTTATACTTGATAAATTCAAATCAAAAAAAAAAATTGATGAATTACGAAATTTTAATTATACAAAATATCCGGAATTTTGGAATATAAAAAAAAATAGATTTTCAAAAGGTGAATATGGTTGGAAAGTTGGAATAATTAAAGAAATTTCAATTGAATTTCCTGGATTTTTAATTTGGTCTGATTCTGGAACTATTATTAGTCAAAAAACTTTAGAAAATCTTCCTAAAATTCTTAAATTATATAATGGTTTTATTTCTTCAAAATCTTCTGGTACAATGGCTAAATGGACTCATCCGGGTGTTTACAAATATTTTAATGATGATGGTAAAAAATATAAAAATGTAATGCCACGATCTTGTTTTTTAATACAAACAAAACCCAATATTTAATTGACGCTTTATATAAATGTGCTCTTGAAAAAGAATGTATAGCACCACGAGGAAGTAGTAGAAAAAATCATCGACAAGATCAAGCTATATTGATTTATCTCGTTACAAATGATCGCAGAAAATGTGAAATAGATTAAATAAATTTGGGTACAAGTACTCGTGGATTCGATAACATCTGTAAAGATGAGAAAAAGATTTGCAAAAGACATTAAAGCTGAAGATAAAAAACACATTAAAACTAAAGATAAAAAACACATTAAAACTAAAGATAAAAAACACATTAAAACTAAAGATAAAAAATACATTAAAACTAAAGATAAAAAACACATTAAAACTAAAGATAAAAAACACATTAAAGCTAAAGATAAAAAACACATTAAAACTAAAGATAAAAAACACATTAAACCTAAAAAAATATATTAAAGCTAAAGATAAAAAAGACATTAAAAAGTTATAGAAGATAAAAAAAGATAAAAAAAATAAAATATTAATATAAATTTTTTTTTTAAACCATCATTTCTATTGTCAAGAACAAATTAATAAACACTATATATATATATACAGTATATATATATATATATATATATCAGATATATATATATATATATTATATATATCAGATATATACAGTATATACTGTATATTTCATTTTACGTATATGTGTACGTATACGTACGTTTTTTTTTAAATCCACTAATCCAAATAAAGAAACAAACGGGATTTATTAAATCTCGTGATTAAAGGAAAGGTTGTCAAACTCTCATTTACCGTTACTAAAAGAAAATGTTTGTACGTATTTCAATTTCCAAAAAATGCTACGTCGATTATAGTTTTTCAAGGTAATCACTTTCATTATTATTGAAATAATGATTACAACGTTTTATTACGCATATAACATTCGTGGTAAACTTCAAATGGATTGTCGTCGTGAAAAGAATTTTACTCCTGCTCAACGAGAAGCTTTGCTTATGGTGTACCACAATCTGGACCGATTTTCCAATTCTTAATCATAAAAAAAAAACGATTTTAATTCTACTTAACCCTATGATTATTACTCGAAATTAAATTAAAAAGGCAAGCATATTAACAACATGACTCTAACCTTAATAAACGTAATAAAGATAAACGATGCCCAAAATTTAATTATTACGAGCTTTGTACTTTGGATTTTGGATTGGTAAACTATGAACATGATTTCAATAAAATACTTTTTTTTAAAAAATCTTTTCTTACCATTCATTCTATTCATTCTGCACTTGTTTATTAACTGTTGCAAGCGCTTTATTGTTCTCACGTTGTTTCTTACAACATGTCCGTAAAGTTATTTTAGTTATTTTTGATTGGCAATATTCACGATTTCACGATGCGTTACAAATTGTTTATGTATCATTAACTGTACTTTATTTTTCTCAATTTTCGTAATGATTGAGTGATCAATATATCAGATATAGTAAACAGAATGATCGATGAGAATAAGTATCCGAATATCAAATATCCGAAATCTAAAACTTTAATTAATTAATGGACTAATGGAATGGCTAATCTTTAATTAAGTCTTGTGTTTTTTTTTTATGTAATTAATCACACAGTATTTTAATTGAAATACTTTAATTGAAATGCTTTAATTTGAAAAACATTTTAATTTGGTTTTGTTTTTTGATTAATATTTAATTAAACGATAATTAAAATTCGTGAATATATAATAAAATAATAAATAACAAACGTTATTTAAAATTACATCTTTACCTGCATTTCTTTGTGAGTCTTCTAACCAATGCGTTACCATCAGCTGCAAATCCATTATTTGCTAATACCGCCTTTTCAGACCTGTGAATTGAAAAAATAAATTCAATATATATATATATATATATATATATATATATATATAAAATTGGTTTGATACGATAAATTTGATTACATTTTAAATGCTTTGGGTGCATATCGCGCATTTATAAGATAACCGTTACTTTGACGAGTATCCAAAGCTACCACACAAAAATCCTCCCCTGCAATCGTCACTGCAGTACTATTATATATAACAAAGATGAACGAACGGGTTAAACATTCGAAGACTGACTTAAAAAATAAAGGTCGTAATAAAATGCCTTATCAAATCTCAAGATCGCAAAATAATAGTTACCGCCATTAGCTTCATACGGATAAAAGTTACGCCCAGTAGGCACTGAGGTTAAAGTCTCATTATAAAAAATCGGTAGAATTCATTGAATAAATATTCTAAGAGTTTTCAAATCGAAATTGAAATTGATTTATAACGTTAAATAATCGATATATACTCGAATTCTGTGTAACTCCCCGTTTTTTTGATGGTTACACGCACATCACAGATCACGTATACGTCACATACGTAAGGTAAAAATTTTGTTCGGGCCACTTTTCACTTTCTCTATAATCTCTATGATGGATGCCTTTGTGAATAGATTTAAAGGGACTACTGCTCTTTGGGCCGACGAAAGTAGTATGTTCGGTGATTTCGGCTCTTATGATGCTGTTAAAGAATTCTCTCACCCAGTCTTTAAAATTCCTGCATATCAAAATGCAAGTATACTTAATTGTGGAATTCGTTTGATAATCTTATTAAGTATATAACAAATACCAAAAATCAAATAGCCTGTCAAATTTTTAAAAGACTGCACCGATGAAAAATCTGATTCTGAGTGTCGTATTAAATTTGAACATGGTACAACTACACTAGCTTTCAAATTTCAAGGTGGTATCATAGTTGCTGTTGATTCGCGAGCTTCTGCCGGAAGTTACATTGGTAATTAAAAAAATTTTACTGAATCATTTTGATCTTTAATACATCTAATACATCTATGTAATTGCTAATTTATGTATGTTTTGTATGCCTTTTTAACGTTTAGCTTCACAAACTGTAAAGAAAGTCATAGAAATCAATCCATACCTTTTAGGAACTATGGCCGGTGGTGCTGCTGATTGCCAATTCTGGGAAAGAGAACTTGGCAGGCATTGTCGGTTAGTTTATACACATCAATAATATTCATAAATATTATCATGTTGATATATTATGTTTTATATTATTAGATTGTACGAATTGAGAAATAAAGAACGAATTTCTATCGCTGCTGCTTCTAAGTTATTGGCTAATATGGTATACCCATATAAAAGAATGGGAATCTCAATGGTATTTAATAATAAAGAAATTTATTAATTTTTAACTTTTGCAATAGTGTTTATAATTAAGTTTCAAGGATGGATAACTTATTTATTATCTAGGGAACAATGATTACTGGTTGGGATAAAACTGTATGTATGTTCATATTTAATATATAATTTCAAATTTCTAAATTTCTTAATTATTCAAAATTTTATAGGGTCCAAATTTGTTTTATGTTGATTCTGATGGTAGTCGGTTCAAAAATGATGTATTTTCTGTTGGATCTGGTTCAACATTTGCATATGGTGTACTGGATAGTGGAATAGATTATGAATTGTCTACAAATGATGCTATTGAACTAAGTAGACGTTCAATTTATCATGCTACTTATAGAGATGCTGCTTCTGGTGGCTTTGTTAGAAGTACGTATATTATTCGAATTGATTTATTTTTTTAAATTTGTAATTTTTTTTTTTTAATATTTATTACCGTCTTTAATTTTTTATAAATGTAAATTTCTATTAATTATTTTATTACCGTTTTAGTTTCTCTTTAATTTTTTTTTAATTTAAATCCCTATTAGTAATTATATATAATTGTTTTTTTTTTATATTAATAATTCAAATTTGGCATGTATATTATAATATATATTTTGAAATAAAGTCTTGCCAAAGTAAAAAATATATATATAAAAACTTAATAAATATTTTAATTTCGTAAGTATTTACATTTACTAGCAAATTAGTAAAACAAAGCTAAATTGCATAATTTTATATAACGGTTTCTATTTGTACACTAGTGTATGAAACGCGAGTATAGTCATAACTCAAAATTTTGCTTATAAAACCACTTTGGGGTTCTAACAAAAAATTATCTACACAAAATTTTAGTATAAAATGCCTCTAACCCTAATATTAAGTAGTTTTTGTTTTTATGAATTTTATATATTACACAGATTTGCAAATTAATTAATTAATACCCGTGTTTCATACACTGGTGTAGATTTAGAAATTTTCTTTTTATAATTTTAAATATTTTACTAATAAAAAAAAAACATGTATATATTTATTTATTTATAATCCATGATATTCCCAATGTAAATCACCAACATCATACAAGCCAATAAATTCCCAACCTTGTTCTTTAACATGATAAACTAAAATTTTTAAAATTTTTAAAATTTTTAAAAGTAAGAAAAAATAAAAAATTTTGACATAATATTAAAAAAATAAATCAATTCGAATAATATACGT